ATGATATCAAAGCCTATTGATAGATTGAAAGTTACCGTCATATAGATCATATTTGTAAAATTATAGAAATAGCTTATACAGAAGCACTTATATGATAAGTGCTTATTAAACACTTAATTTAGTTGTTTATCTAAATAAGTCTCAAGTGTCTTGAGGCACTTTAGTTTGCAGCTATATGTAATTTTAAATAAGGCATTGTACAGGTTCAATATGCTCCTCACTTGCCTCTGGTTTTACGTGGACTAAAATGCACTTTCACCGCTGGAGCAAAAACTGGCATTGTTGGAAGAACTGGAAGTGGAAAATCAACAATTGTGCAAGCATTTTTCAGACTTGTTGAACCTGTTGCAGGACAAATATGGATAGATAACTTCAACATCTCATTGATTGGAGTCCATGATTTACGGTCCAGACTAAGCATAATTCCTCAGGATCCAACAATGTTTGAAGGGACTGTAAGAAGCAACCTCGACCCACTGGAAGAATACAGAGATGAACAAATTTGAGAGGTAAACTGGTTTTGCTAGAATTTAAGAAATAACCGATCCCTTTACTGCAAGCTTTACAAATTAATATATGCTATCAAATATTTTAGGCTTTAGATATGTGCCAACTAGGAGATGAAGTGAGAAAGAAAGAAGGAAAGCTCGACTCAACAGGTTCGACTTCTCAAAATTTTAACCACATATATACTCCCTCAATTCCATATTAAGTGATGTTTTGATCAAAGAAAAAATAATCTAGAATGAGTTACGTTTTGTTTTATCAATGTAACTTAAATGTGACTTAATATGGGACAAAGGAAGTTTATAGCAAGTGTTAGAAGTAAATTTTATGCAATGTATTACTTAGCATCATCCATCATGAGATCTGCAGTTACTGAGAATGGAGAAAACTGGAGCATGGGTCAAAGACAGTTGGTTTGCCTCAGTAAGTAAGCAAGATATTAGTGCTTGATGAAGCTACTGCATCAGTCGATATGGCTACGGATAATATTATTCAGCAGAAGTCAAGCAACATTTCTCTGATTGCACAGTCATTACCATTGCTCATAGAATAACTTCAATCCTTGATAGCGACATGGTTTTGTTTCTCAGTGAAGGTAAGAACCTGTTTTTGTCCCTTCTTTATTGTTACTATTTGTTTCATAATTGTGGGCATGGTTTTTCTTTATACTGGTCCTGCAGGTCTTATTGAGGAATATGATTCACTGAAAAAGTTGCTTAAGAACAAATCTTCATCTCTTGCTCAACTAGTTGCAGAATACACAAGGAGATCAAATACTGGTTTTGCAAGTTGAGAGCTGAAACTGAACAGAAATTAAAGTAAACTAGAAGTTATAAGTTTGAAAGAAGGGTATAAAATTTAAGAATAATATATGTTTGTAAGTATTATTGAAGCTTATATGTTACAGAAGAAAGTGAACATTTTTTTTTAAATGGCATAATGATCAATTATTGAATTATTGTAAGTTAAGTTTATTCTCTAGTTAGTGAGATGAAGCTTTGTATTGTAAGTTAAGTTTATTGTAGCTGGTAGTGAGAAGAAACTTGTGTTTGTGAGGTAAAAGGTAACTGTTGTTGCATCTGAGTTCAAATGTGTGATAGGTTGAGAAATGAATTGTTATGGAACAAATTATCGGGTCGAGTCGCTGATTAGATCAAGAGACGTCAAATTGTGAGTGAAGGTAGGAAAGATTATTTATGGTAGAAATATGTGGCTAGTGTGAAAGAAGGTAGAAGAGTTGGAAGGTGGTTGAACAATCGAGTCTGTAAAATGGTTGGTAATGACGAGAGTCTGTAAAATGGTTGGTAATGACGAGAAAACTTCTTTTTGGAGGGATCCAGGTTTAGAGGGGAGCTCTATAACGATTGTAGAGATGAGTAGTGCGGGTGGCGGGGGTAGGAGGGTTGGGCTAGAGGTGGCAGAGAAGTTTAGACTGTTGTATTATTCTAAATAACATTATTTTGCAGGTGAATGATGCTGATAGATGGATTTGGAAATCAGATCACATTGTCTGTTGTTCATTCAAATGAGCCTATTGCATTTTGTCACAATTTTTAGTGTTTCAAAAATTGGACTGGACCGGCCGGCCGAACCGGTCAAATCAGGAACTGAAGGGTCATCAATTTTTATTTTTACTACCTCCGTCTCTAAATATAAGACACTGATGAGAAAATCACGGAAATTAAGAAAATTGGTTAAAGTATTAAATTTATTGATTACTTTGTATAATTTTACAAGTTTATCCTTAGGAGAGAGAAATAGTTAACGTGTATGTAACTATATTTATTATAGAATGCAAAAAAGATGTAATATAATTAGGGCTTGACTGAGGGCTTGTTTCCTAACCAAGCTTCTTCTGGAACGATCGAGCCAAACTTCAGTCTGTTGGGCCAATTGATTAGAATGTAAATTAGAGTTTAGTTTTCCTATAAATAGCATATTAGTCTCCACTTCTCCATCAATCCCTAATAATCCTATTCAAAGGAGAAAGTGGTGTGGTTGAGATTCAATTGTAAACATTGTTCCCTAATGTGTAATTGAATCAAGAATACTTTAACTGTTCGTTCTCTTCTCTTCTATATTTTCCTTTACTTTGTGATTTTCTTAATCAAAAAACCGATCATACTCTGTTTTCTTGGGCATCATTTCACAACAATGATCAAGTTTTAAAATTTTAAATTCTTAAAAAGCATAACTACTTTTAGTTTTTTATGGTTTCTATTAGTTTTAGAAGTTGTTAGATCCCCCACTATTGGTGGACATCGAATTGTGCTCATTTGGTTTGGATAGGAATAATTATGTATGTATAATAAGTGTACAATGATATTTGACAAGTGCTTATTATTGATTTTGCAGATTCAATGACTATTTGGGATCTTTTAAGAGACTTCCGATTCAAGAAGGTTCACATGGTTGTTGTTTGTAATGAGTACGGCGGAATTGTAGGAGTAAGTCAACATCACATTGGAGCTCAACTAGCTTAGATCTATGTGAATTACGTAAAACTAGATATAGACCCGCGAACTGTGCGAGTGCTTTATTTGGAGAAAAAAATGATGTTTAGAGATACTGAAAGACAGAAATCATAACAAAGATTGAGCTATAATAAGATGGATATACAAAAATAATAGAATAGTCAATCTTTCTTGTTACTGGCTGTGGCTGCATTTGACAATGGTTGGTTTATGAATTAGGTGAAGTAAATCCTTTTTTCCGGGCTTAATTGAAAGTGAGGGTTATTTCTTAATTAAGTTTCATTAGAATTTAGATAAACTCTAAGTCATCTGAAATCTATTCTATGTTCTCTGTCTAAGTTCTAAGAATTTTATAAACTAACAAGGATGGAATATAATGTCTATTTTCTATACTACCCTTTTACATATTGTAACTCTGGATTCTGGAAGATATATTTGAGGAAATTGTTGGTGAAATCTTTGACGAAAAGGACTCAAAGGTATAATCCGGTATAGATGCTTGTGTGTCGATTTCTAAATCATAGAACTGTGTATCAAACTTACGAGGACTTGGATTTGACAGGAAGAGATCCAAAAGAAAACTGGATGTATAGTAATGCAAGAGGAGGGTATATTTGACGTCAATGCAAACACATCTATTGATCAGCTGGCAGAAGATTTAAATGTCAAAATACCCGAGGTTCATTATTTTATTTACATAACCTAAATGTTTCTCAAAAAGGAAATTATGAATATTTGGATAGAGACGGTGATTCCATATTGGATCTATCTATGCATGGCTCTCATGAGTTGTTTAGCTGTTTAAGAATTACAGTCCTCTTAATATTCATTTTCCATCTATTATTTCAGGGCCACCTATATGAGACAGTATCGGGTTTTGTATGTGAAACTTTTGGTTACATCCCTATAGCCCAAAAAAGCATCGAAGTGAATTTTGAAAGGAAAAATGAAGAGAATGATGCGTCCAATACTGATCACGATGATCAGAAACAGGCTTTCATTCTAGAGGTATTGATTTGTAGTTATAGGGAATACATTATAATTTGTAGTTATAGGGAATACATTATAATCCGATAAATATATTGTTAGTAATCATGTAACATAAGATGAAACTGTTTTTCTTGGTGCAGATACTTGCAGGAAATGCCAAAAAAAAAGGTTTACTGAACTTCGGTTCAGACAGAAGAGTGAAAATCACGAGGAGACCAAAAACGTAACTCGCAAGGCCCCTAAACTAATAAAAGAAAACAGAGCAGTGACTACAGTTTAGACGGTGCAAAATATTAGAAGATACGCGCTTACACGGATTTTGGGTTTAAATTAATTTTTTCTGATCGGTTATGAACACTCTTGTATAAGTTAGTATACAAATACAAGAGACAACACAAAACACCAACGTCAGAAAAATATTCATTCTATTTTCTAATTCATAGCTATATGATCCTAGCTCTTAAGTGTTCTCTTTGTAGTGTTACTGCTCTGTATTAGATGCTTCATAGAGCTATCTTAAGTTTCCCTTCTACGTCTCTGCATATTATATGTTAAGCGATTCTAGTGCTTCAATCAATATTTGATAAAATACTACGATGTCTTAGGAAAGTTCAGTTAAGCATTCAAGTTGGCACTAATTGGTTCGATTGAAATTAAGTTTTAGTCTCGATATAGTTTGAGAACAGTTTTGAAACAGCATGTATTTGTCGTGGCTTTTTATGCTAACGATGCTTGAACTAAAGGGTCAATCCTCTACATAGGAAGCTAACACTTTCCTCATCAATAATGACAAAAATAGGTGACATTTTAGAAACTAAGTTATTCTAATTCACAAGTTAATAGCTATATACTCACTCGTTTATACTTGTATATGCAAAACTACTTCTTTAAAAATAGTTATGAAACCAAGACTGTTTCAACCAATTCTCGTGACAACATAAATCTATGCTAGGGGTAAAACTGATGCAAGGTAAACTAAAAAAACTATTTCGCAAGAGCAATGAGATCAAAACAAACCTGTAAGACAATTTACACATGATCCGGGTTCCAGATGAGCTGCTCAACACTCGTTCTACGTAAAGATCTAGTCATATGCTCGTTCGATGCACGGATACTAATTAGTCTATTTTGCAAATTTCTGAACGAAGCAACATTAACTACTTCAGATACTCTATCACGGTATAACGGTTCTTCATGAAAATTGGAAAGAGCCTCAACAACATTATCCCTTAGTTCCTCGGTCTCGTTGAGTAGTAGGTCAATAAGAATTGGAATTGCCCCAGCATCAGCAAGAGCCGTTCTACCAGCTTCATCATAACTTAGTTGAGCAAATGCCCCAGAAACATTCAACTTTATTTCGTCACTTCCATGACCCAAAAGTTCAACAAGGATCGAGATCGCACCTGAATCCCGAATCACAGAAATTGCATGCTTGTATCCCGACAAATCCCATATCACATCAGCAGCTGCTGCTTTAGCTTCATCATCACCATCTCTAAGAATTCTCACCAAGTGACCAACAATTTCAACAGCATTAGCCTCAGAAACACCCAATATACAAAACACATCCTCCGCTATCTCCTTACCAGAAGCATCACGTCCTTGAAGAAGCTCCGCGTAAAGAGGAATAGCCCCAGCTTGAGCAACTGGTCTAATGTAATCAACATGAGCCGATACCACACCGAGAGTATTACCAGCTACAAGCTTCAAACCAATATCTCCAACGCGAAACAATTCCACAAGCACCGGTATAACTCCTAATTCAACAAGTGTATGCCTAGCCTGTCTCGTAACCCCAATCAATCCAACCGATTGGCACGCTCTCTCCCTAGAAACCATACTTCCAACACCAGCAGCCTCTACAATAAAACGAAGATCTCCTAACCTAACAAGTTCCTTCCTAACTTCCCTCCGAAGCGCCAACACACTCAAAATCGCTAACAAATACAATCTAACGTCACTGCTACAAGTATTCAACAAACCGATTACAATTTCCAATCCGCCATTAGCTGCAACAACTGTCCTACTTGTATTACAAAAACTAACAACAAGCAACAAACATTTTATCAAAACTTTCTGCATCTTTCCCTCGGCACGAGGCAACAATCTTATCAAAGAATGTGTAACACCGCGTCTACTCATTTCAACTGCCATACTACCATCACCTCTGCAAGCAATGCACTTCAAGCAATAAGCAGCAGATTCTTGAAGTAAACTAGGATGAGAATCATTTTCAGTGTCATGATCAAGAATATCAATGAGAAATGGTATGGTGCTGGATAATACATGTTCAGGGGCTTGTTTGGAGTAATTGAGCAGCATAATCATAGCTTTAATTTTCATAGAATTGGTTCCTGAAGCTATAACATTCTCATACTTGCTTAATTCAATTTCCCAATTAGGGTTCTCAGTTTTACTACTTTCACCCCCTTCCATTCTTTTCTTCAAATACTTTGATTGATTAATTCAGAAAATTCAAACCTAATTCAATAATGAGCAAAACATTTTAAAATTTTTTTTGATAATATTCTAAAATAACAAAATTAAACCCAATCCAAAAGAAAAGAAGAAGAATCACTGTTATGCATTGATGTATGTATAGAAAATACCAAACATGAATAATACCCTTTCGGTAAAAGTTAGTGAATTTGAAGAAAAGGGAGAGAATGTAAAATGATACCTCTGAAAAATCAAAACTTCGGCAGAAAAAGGAAAACAAAGTCTCGCAACGACTCAAGTGAAGGATTGGTTGGCTCTATTTAAGTTTTAGGGATCAAACTAGTGAAATAGCGTAATGGGTATAATAAAAATGAAATGATATAAATACAAATTTGTTTAGCTAAAAAATTTATTATTTTAAAATTAGATAATAAATCAAGTGTCTATAATTTTTTTTATAAAAATATTAGAATCAATAATTAATTTTTTTATATATAAATATTATATTTACATATTATTTTCAAAAATATTTGAAATAATAATAAAGTTTTTTCCGTTATTATTTAATATTTTCATCAATAATTTCATTTTTTTCAGTTTTATATAATTTCACGTATTTATTTTTAAAATATAATAGAAATAAAATGATTGGAAGATAAAATTATTTAACCAACAAAATTACTATTCTTAAAACAAATATTAAATAAGTTTCTATAATTTTTACTATATATAAAAATATTTAAGTTAATAGCATATTTTCTCGTATATAAACATTATTTTTATTTTGGTATTATTTACCTAAATATTTGAATCAATAGAAAACTCGTTTCCATTATTATTCAATATTCTGATTAATAATTTAATTTCCCCTGTTTTATATTATTTCAATATTAGGAGAAAACATAATTTAAGTAATTAAAATTCTCATAAGCCATTAAAATAAAAATTAAATAAATAAAATTTACACATGTAAATTTTTTTTTAATAATTTATGTTTTGAATTGGGCCAGAGGCTGGTCCAACCCAACTCCTCGTCGAGGATGACCCAATAAAGGCCTAAATCATCACCTCACACAAGAAGGTTTCACGCGTCTCCTCCACGGTTTCTACGTGCTCCCCACGTGGGAACACGTCATCAGCCAACTATCCGCGTCCGAGAGAACAGATCCTACACCTCCCGAAGTTTACGGGGCAGTTGAACCAGGATGAAGACCATGTGATGGTCTTCCCTACGCCACATATATCTTGGCAGTTATTCGTATTGGGCCTAATGATCCAACCCAGTGCAAATAATCGTTGGTCTAGCGCTGGAGGCACATTTTTAATACTCTCTTTCACTAGAGGGTCAGATATTCTATTTTCTACACTTTATATACTTGCTCTCTTTGCTCTATTTCTTACTTTGACATCAGAGTGTCTTACATGTACACTCATCCTCTTCTCCACCACTGACGAACTAGGAGATCACGATGCGTTGCTGGCTGCTAATCTCTTTCTGGTCCAGTAAGATCAGTGGCGTCGTATGTGGGAAATCTCTTGCTTCCCCGTTCTTTATTCCTCAAAAGCTAAAGAACCAAAGCACAACTCAACTTACATCGATCATGGCCAGCCCACGCATTGGCGATAACCTCCACGAAACCGCTTTCACCACCTTCACCAACAGCGACGACCATGATCCCGACATGGTTGTCCCAGTCGATGAGGGCGACCCCAGGGGCTGGCACACCGCCTCTCCTTCCTCCGACGATGCGGGCGACAACGCCGCCCAACGATTCAACAATCCTGCTGTTTTCTAGCCAATTCCCATGCCGCCCAACACCGACCCGACCATGGTGGCCTTGTTCGCGGCGATCAACTAGACGAACCTAATAATATTCTAACAGAACGGACGGATCAGGATGCTGAAAAAGGAGCGGAAATCACGTTTTCCCCCGCGGAGACATAGGCACCCCATTTCTCGTAGCCCATCCCCGAGACGGGGAGAAACATGACCCTTCTCTCCCCCGCGGAGACATCAATGGGATGAATCTTGAAGCCCCTCATTGCGACAACATGGACGTCGCCCACAACTAGAGAGGCTTCAGCCCGTCGCAACCCAGAAGCGCGACTGCAGTCCTCCCTAGAATGAGCGATGCTCATTGGTCCCCAAGAGGAGCAAAGCCGACGGGAATATGGGGAAAACGAAGCATCGACCGAGGAGTCATCCCCGTCGCAGTAGGAGCCCTCAGTACGACCATTCCTCATTGCAATCATCCATCAAAAGCGACGAGAACGACCCCTACAGTGTGTTGTCTAGGGCCATCGTGGAGACTCCCCTCCCCGTCGGGATGGAGAAACCACCAACTCTTGCAACCTACAATGGCACAACCGACCCAGACGACCACATCGAGAGTATCAACATAATGCTCGACTACCGCAACGTCTAGGGAGCCATAAAATGCGAGCTCTTCTCGAAGACCCTGAGGAATGGCACGTTGGCATGGTACAAGAGCCTTGAACCCGAATCCATCACCTCCTGAAAGAGCTGAAGAGACAGTTTTTCAGGCATTTCACCGCCTCTCGGCGACATCCGAAGACAGAGGCATCCCTAGACGAATCTCTCCGAGAAAAAGCTTGATTCTGAATAGAATATCAAGGGCTGATTATGAATAGAAGATGTCTCACTCGAAGTCCAATCCTACTAGACTCTGTTGAAAGATAGCTGCTGAAAGTTGTTAGTCTCTGAGATTCAAAAAAGGAATCTTTACTTCTGATAAAGCATTTTAAGTAAAAAATATTTTAAAAACAACTATGTTTACTTAAAACTCCATAAAGTTGATAATCATTTGGTGGATTCAAGAAATCTGTTGGGTAAGAACCTTAGGGTAATAATGTTTTCTTTTATTTCTATTATCTATATCCTCTGTATTTGTGAAACATCATTTCGTGTCTTTTTTCTGTTCTTCTAAAAATATTCTTATTCCTTTAGAGTCTTGTTCAGTTCCTTTAGTTTTATTATTTTCTTCTGTGTTGTTCAAACCAAACTTGATATGGATTCTCTAGTCAATTATCCTTTGAATCAACTAGTTGTCATCAATGAAAAGTTTGTGGATTTTGATGAGCTACTTAAGCTTGGTTTTAACTTTTTGAAGACTGTGTCTAAACAAGGTTGGAATGGATACTTTGATATGCTTTGTGGTTTCACTTATCCAAATCTTGTCAAAGAGTTTTGGATTAATGCTTCCATTATTAAGCTAAATTCTGAATGTGTTATTCTTTCCAAGGTTTTTGGTGTTTCTATAACAGTAACCTCTAAGATGATTGCTAATGTAATCAACTTTGAGGAGATTGGATAAATTCCAGGTACTCTTGTTTGGGAATACTATCTTCCTACTTTACATACTTTTATGGATCCATCAAACATCTCTTAGGTCGCAAATCTTCGTCCTGATGCAATTATTTGGAATCAGATTATGAACTCAAACTTGCTACCTAAAGACAAAGATCTAGACCTTGTGGACCTTATTGAAAAATATTTGCTACTTATTCTCAATTCATACTTGTAGATTGATCTTCCTCATGTTATGTTTGACTATCTGAAGGAGACTCTTTCATCTTTTCACAAGGGAAATACATTCTTCATTTCTTATGGACGAGTTATTTCAGAACTTTTGATCCAACAAGGAGTTATCATAAGTTTATAGGATGATTCTTCTAAAATCTTGAGAGAAAAGCTTGAAGCTATCTGTGAGAGATTCTGATGTTAAATTTCTACAAATATATGCCTTGTAATTGTTAAACATCTTGTATTAAGTAGTCTTGTTATTAAAAATTGTTCTTGTTCTTGTTCATATTCTTGTGTGTCTTAACTGTTATATATATACTTTTACTATGTTGTTGTTGCGGTGGAAATAGGATATCAAATTATTAATTAATTTTAATCGCATCTTTAGTTCACAACCACTCTTTGATTCATCCGAAGGAAAAGGTCAAAAGAGGAAAAACATATTTTTGCATTGTAAACACAATGCGGGGAGAGAACTAGGTAAGGGGTTGGTTAAGCTTAGGGAAGGTATTAGCATCCTAAACTTTTGTAGTACTCTACAGGAACCTTTTGTTTATTTTTACTATTTGCTTTATTATATTTTAAAGTATATACAAAGAGTTAGAAATTAAAAGAAAGACCTAAGGGTTAGTCCTAAGTTTACTCGGCAAGACGTCGCATCTTGTGCCTACATATCCTGACAGGAATGGAATCAGAGTAATTGTAGTTCCCCTGGGAAGGGAGGTTAGAAACGTCTTGACTGTGGTCAAGGTTTCAAAGGGAAGTAAACGTATCTTAAGGACATGCTTACGTGGAGTGCGGAGACTCCAATCTCTACGTTGAAATTGTTAATTAAATCAGGGTTAAATTAGGGATTCCACGACAGGAAACCCTAAAACAGAGTACAGCGACTCTTTGACCTAACGCTAGGGTAAAGGGTAAAATTGTCCGCGGCGGGACGCCTAAAAGTATCAGGGTTTGAAAACGTCAAAGGTTAGGGTTATTGACTCGGCGGTCAAATTGCTAGACCTAATCCTTCGGAAGGTGTGAATACGGTAAATTGAGTAATGCGAAATAAATAAATGAATTACAAATGATGTTTGAAAAATAAATACAACCATAGATGAAAATAAATACAAACAATGTTATTGAATAAATTACAAAATCCTGAAAAAGGGAAAATGCAAAAAAAAACTGTTAGCGAACAAGGTCAACATAAAAGTAGACGGAAAATATAAACAGGTCGACGTCAAGAACCTTAGAACGCAAAAGTGTTAGGAATTAAAATTTAAAAGACGTTAGCAAATTTTTAATAAAAGTTTTTGTGATTTTTTTACAAAAAGAATATCTTTTAATTAGAAAAAATAAATTTGTTTAGAAAAATATTTTTAAAGGAAAAAGGTTAGTTCTTTTTTAAATGAAAACAGGATTTTAATAATAATAAAACAATTAACTCTTATTATGACTATTTTTG